ATTGTTGTGAGGACCAAATGAGTTAATGTGTGTAAAGCACTCTATAAACTTTCAAGTGCTATATAAATGCTGGCCATCATCATCATCATAATTATTAAACAGGATTTGAACCCTAACTACAAATCCTTTTCCCACTATGCTACATTGCTTCTTGTAAGGATCAACTGAGTTAATGTAGGTAAAGTACTTTGCAAAACACTATACAAATGTCTGTTTGGGTATTATTATTTATATTAGCTTGATTCCTTTTAATTTCAGGTAAATTGGATATAGGGTATTTAGACATAGGTTATTGATTATTGTATGATCCCAGACAAATCACTTAACCTCTATTTGCCTCAGTTTCCTCATCTGTAAAATGAGTGGGGGGACCTAATGATCCCACTGTGTTTTTCCCCTACCAGAACTAACCTGATACTCAGGTTCTCAACTGATCACAGTGAGTCGGGGACGAATATTTTAAACTGATCATTAGTGTTCAGAGAGTGATTTTGTTTTGCTTGTTTCTTTTAAAAAAGAAAGTGGCCCCCAAAGTACTCATTGGATTAATTTCTGCTAATGACTAGATAACAGTTTATCATTTCACAGGGACATCCTTGGGCCATCAAAGTGATCAGAGACAGACAACCAATGGTTTGAGCTGAGAGCTAATAGACTTCCCCATGATGGGGAAATAGGATTGTTGTTAGCTTCCCCTTGTTTTCATTAAAGTTGATGGTGTCTGTGATTTCATATTCCCCACACAGAAATCATCAATCCAAAGACTTTTCTATTTCCCTCTTGTGAATTCCAAAAGTAGTTTTTGCTGGGCAATGCTCATTTCCTTACTTATTTTCTGGCAGAGATATTGCATTGAAACAGAACCATATCACAGATTCTAGAATTGTACTACTTGGAGGGACCTGTGCATCTTGAGGTTCACAGTGTCAGCTGGAAGGACTCTTAGAACATAGAATGTGAGAGCTGGAAAAGATCTTACAACATAGATGGTCCGAGCATGCTGGAGCCAGCTCTGACTGGCTACTGAGAGTCAATTGTCAAATTTTGAGGGTGAGCATTTACACCTCAGAAATTAATGAGCAAACCCTACAAATGGGGAGGGGGCGCTTGATTTATTGTTTTGTTGATTGCCACTACTTAAGAAAGTGATAGAGATAATGTAAATAAGGTAGATTAAAATGAAAAGTGTGTCATGGGTAAATTCCACCCACCCCCACCCCCACCACAAAGCTAGTTACCAAGCATTTACCAGCATACCCTGCTTGGAACACTAAATGTTAGAGTTGGGAAGGACCCTTAGAACATAGAATGTCAGAGCAGAAAAAGGTCTTAGAGCATGGATTGTCAGAGGCAGGAGGGACTTTAGAATACAGAATGTTCAAATTAGAAGGAACCTTTGAGATCTTCTCCCCCAAATCTTTCATTTTAGAAATAAGGAAATTATTGGTCTGAATATAGGTCATACCACTAAAATGAGATCTCTTTGAAAGGAGAATATATATATATATATATATATATATATATTTATATATACGTACATACTGTCATTTGCCAAAAATAACCTTGTTTTTAAACCATGTTCAGTTTTCATACAAATCAAAGTACTTGGTGCCCTCACCAAAGGGATGTTCCTTTTTGACTGAGTCCCTAGAGGGCTTTTAACACAGCTGCAAAGAACAACATGTTTATGGTGAACTAGAAAGGGGACCAGATTTGGAAACAGAAGAGCTGGGTTCCAATGGTAATTCTGTTGTGTGACCTTGGCCAAGGTGTTCCTTCTTTCTATGACTCAGTGAAAGTGGTTGCATTTGATAATCCCTAAGATCTAGATGAGGATCTCAGGTGCTTGGTGGGAGGAGGGGAAAGGACTTAAACATTTATTAAATACCTACTATGTGCCAGGCACTGCGCTAAGCACTTTACAAATGTCTCATTTAATCCTTATAACCCTAGGAGGTAGGTGCTATTACTACCCCCATTTTATAGATGTGGAAACTGAGGCTGAGAGAAATTCAGTGGCTTGCCTGCCCAGGCTCACTTAGCTAGTATCTGAGGATAGATTTGAATTCAAGTCTTCCTACCTCCAGGCTCAGCATCCTACACATTGGGCTATCTAACTGCCATGGTTCAGAATCCCATCATCAACCCAGTTAGAGAAAAAAATTGAACCTGATTGTATACAAATCAGGTGAAAAATAGTGATGTCTAAATTAACCAGAAAATAAAGCACCTAATCACTTTTGCTAGTTTTTTTCCCTTCCCCCCACCAAAAAACAAACAAAAAACAAACAAACAAACAAAAAAACAACCCAAAAGGTTCTTCTGCTATGCCTAGCTCATTTCCAAAGCTGCCCTTAGCCAATGAATCCCAGAAATTCTGTGGCAAGAGTGGGAATTGATTGGGCTTTGGAGCAGGGCACAGTCAAGGAAGTATGGTTTAATTGGGATCATCCTATGTAGAGGTAAAACTACTGGGTTTGAGCAGATACTTACTAGCCATGTGACCCTGGGCAAATCACTTCAACTCTGAGCCTCAGCTCAATGATGTGTACAATGAAGATAACAGTCCTGGAGCCACCGAGCCCTTAGGTTTGGTGTAGGGATGGTGTTTTGTCAACAGAGGGCACTCTAAAAATGGGAGTTATTATTATTGTCTACTAGACCCTCAAAATCGTATGTTGTGGGGCTATGCAGATTGTAAGAGCATAGGAAGATGTGTCCCTGTCTCTTACAACACAGGAATTTCTTTAGAAAACATGCAAATTGAGGTCTTTGCCATGTTAGGCACCATTTTGTTGGAAGATAGGAAAATGTTCCTGGTGAATTAGAGGAAATGTTGCCTCCCCCACCCCCTTCATCTCAATTTGTATGAAGCTGCTGAAATGAAATCTTTGTATTCTGGGATATCTGTCTCCAGTGACTAGAAACCCTGTTAAGGATGGCAGACAAGCAGACAACTGGGCTGAATGGGGCAGGTCTGATTTCCAGGGCAGAGTAGTGAATGATCCATTCCTGGCCTCATGGTACTGCTCCTCTCAGGCTTTGTTTGAACTGGAATAGAATCAAAGCACACCGGGTGAACTTGGATTCAGCCGTTTGGCTTCAGATGTGCCCCTGTTCCCTCCAAGGGCAACTATCACAGCTCCTGCCCGTGTCCAAAGGGAGAGCTGCAGACCAGGGAGAGTATAGAAGGCATTGGGTGTTATTGGCTGAGGCCCCGGAAGCTTTGAATTGGGGAAGGTTGGGTGGGACAAGGAATGTGCCGAAATTACCCACCATCTGCTCACGAGAATTTTTTGGATCCCAAGTGATGAGTCACTTCTGTGCCCTACTGTTCCTTCTGCTGCTGGTACTCGGCTGCTTCCTGTCACACTTCATCCGAGTGTGCATGGGTATGACAGGCCACTGAGTCATGGCTGTCTTTTATCATACCTAATACGTGGTCTTCACTGACACATCCCTGGAGGGTGACTTCCCCTTTCCTCAGCTGTACAGTGGGAAGGGCAGGCTGCCGTACTGGCTCGCCAAAGGGTTCACATTTCTCCTATGCTGTGTGGACCCAGGTTCACATTTAGCTGGCTGATTTTGGTCAAGTCCTCCAGTCACCCCCATTAGGTCAGCCAGGAAGACTGGCCTCACTTGTACTGTTGACTTCACAGCCTAGTTGTGAGAATAGGATGAAAATGGGGGTAAAACATTCTGTAAATCCTCACATGCTATAAGCTGTGGCTCATTCTCCTGTCCTTTATAAAACAAAGGTGAAGCTCCTGGTCCCCACCATCAGGAGAGCACATTATTTTTCCAGTCATGTTATCGATGCAGACCCATCCACACATTCTTGCCTGCTTCTCAAGTGACCTACGGCATGGTGAGGGAGGAGTGTAGTGAAGGCCAGAAAGAACAATGGACTGGGAGGCCAGAGGGAGTAAAGCCTGATTCCATGCCTCTACCTCCCAGGAAAGAACTGGAAACCCCCACGGAGAGTAAATGGCACAAAGAGCACCCTCAGATGAGGGGAGGAGCTCATCTTGGCCTCCCATAGGGTAGTTTTCCCAGTCTAAGTACTTGTACTAAGTACCAAGTTCTATCGTTTCTATCCAGCTGAAAGATGCTTGCTTTGGCACCTGAGTTTAAATTCTGGCTCTGATTCTTACTAGGTACGTAACCTTATAAAAGTCTCTTCTCTTCTCTGCAAAATGGGAATAGTGCTTCCCCTACCTCAGACTCAAAAAGATGCTGTGAAGAAGGTTGCTTTGTAAACTAAAGAATGTTGTAGACATTAGTCCATCTAGCAGCAGCAACACACAGCCAAGTTTCTTGGTCCACCCGGCACACAGTAAGTGCCTCATAAATGCTTGCTGACCCACTGTCTACTCCCTGCTATGGTTCTGATCTTGTTACCACCGAGCTCTGGGAAGGTTATGGAATCGGTGAGCCAGGGACAGCAGGGGGAGGCCGATTATTCCATACAACTAGTAAAATCCTACCTGCTAAGTCTGATATGGCCTGCTCTGGCCGACCTTGGATTGAGAACCACACGGGACCTTAGAGATCGGCTAATCCAGTCCCCCTCATTTTATGGGAGAAGGGCAAAGTGACTTCACCAAGGTCACGAAGCTAATAAGCAGAAGAAAACAGTCTTAAACCAGTCCTCTGACTTCACAGTCAGTGTGAGTACTTAGAATGATGGGGAAAGATTCAGCAGAAACTTTTTAATCCCAAAAAGCCTTTTCCATCTGCTTTGAAAAGCACATTCTGTAGCCCTGAGTGGGGGGGGGAGGGGAGGGGTCCTATCAATAGACTGGCATCCAGCACATCTGCAAATGAGGGACTGTAACCAGATGGGGGCCCCGGCCTGAGCCAAACCCACCTCGGAGCAGCTGGGGTCACAGGAGCCCCTGGTGCCTGACAGCGTGTGGCCCGTCGCCTTAGGCTAACTTACAACATGTTCTCCGTTCCTTCCAGTTGGCGCAGGAAATTTGACAGGGACTAACATCACCTTTTATTTAAAATTTTTAAAAAAGTTTATTGAAATGGTTCCAATATAACTTCACATCTCCAGCACGCCTGGGGAAGGGCTGTCTGAATTCTGTCTCCTGCACCTCTTTCATCAGCCCAGGACGATGTTGCCAAGCGGCCTTGGTGACAGATGACATCCTGGTGCTTTCCCTCAAGTTTGCCGGAGCTTTCTTGCCTGGAGGAAGCACTGCGCCGCAGGTGGGCGGGACTTTGTTCTTACCACTGAGGAGGTGTGATGGGAGCCTGATAGGCGGCTGTTCTCCGGCAGAAGGATGCGTCTGATCCCTGGTGAGCCAAGAAGGACCTGGTCTCTGGAAGCCAGAGCCAGGGGCTGCCAGCATTACTTAGATCATGCCTCTCCAGGGAGATATTAGAAGAGAAGGCCCAAGTGTGTAGGCCTAGACAAGGTCCATTAGGCTCAAGCCCACATTTCCATCTGATAGGTTAAGAACTGTCCCTCACATTAAGTAAGCTGGAACTGTCCTGTGAAACCTTTGGAAATAGCTTGTTCTGGTACAGACTGCTACCCTGCAGTCCAGCTTTCAGAAGAAAAGTCCGAGCTTTACTTGGAGTATGTGGGTACAATTAAGGAGAAGAAAAGTCAAGTCATCTTCCATATCAAACAGCTTTGCTCATTGCAAGCTCACTTTGCTGGGAGTAAAATTTTCAACTCCATCCCTTATCCTTGTGCAAAATGCAGTACGTGCTGAGGTAGCAGCAACCTTGGGCTACTAGGCCGTCTTGTGGCTGGACCCCTGCCTCTTCAACAGCGTCACGTGCTGGTGAGTACTGAGGCTAACTGGGAAGGGAGGGAGAGGGGGGGAGAAACTCCTCCCTTTCCTTGTTTCAGCCGATCAAGTGGCTCTCTGTGTGGGAGCATGGCAGCTGGGACCTCTGCAGCTCCTCTCCCAACACTCCCTCCCAATGGAGGTTTGGCCATAAACAGGCTCCAAATAACTGGTAAGGTTTTAAGGCAAGTTATAATACAAAAGGGCTTTGGCAAACTGTCTGTATTCATCACTTTGTTTGGGTAGTTATGAAAAACAAGACACCCTCCTCCAGTCTCAAATCCTGCTACTGAGTTGAGTGAATGCCCTTCTGCCCACCCAGAAGTCTAGATACCAGTTTTTAGCACATGCACAATGGCTTAACATCCCCTTTCTTGGGGAAAGGAGAGAACTGAACAGAGCTGTTCCAAGAGGCATCCTGCTTAAATGGAAATACTGGTCTGGTGGGACCATAAAGGCTGTGAGTGAGCCCTGCCTAGTGGGTTAGAGGCTATGACCCTGAGAGGGGCAGCCAGTTCAATCCCATTCCTTTGGAGTTAGGTACTGGGGGAAAGCAATGGGAATGAAGAGGAGGCACTGTGCATCACGGCAAATGAACCTGCTAGCTTCTAAAATGAGCCCTGCCCCCAAAGAGCAGCTGCCAAAGAAGGGGTCCAAACCCAGGTATTCTCAACGAAAAACCAGCTTGCTTTGGGTCTCAGGAGCCATTTTTAGAAGTGTGTGAGTACTTGGGATGCTAAGTCAAAGGAGAAGAGCGAGACCTCTCTCTGACCATCTACCATAATAAGTAGGATTCCCCTAGGTACTGCCGCACCCCACCCTCCTAGGCCTAGACCCAAATCCCCTGGAAAGGAAGAATTCCCTCAGCCAAAGCCAGAAAGGCAAAACAGACTTCAAACTGGTGCAATCCACTACAAAGACAGACCAGGACTCCCAAGAGGACTGCCCTTGGAGATGGGGGCAGGGGAGCACAGGAGAAAACAAGATTGGGAGCTGCTGTTTCACAAACAGCTTTGTTAACTTGCCTGCTCACCTCTGAGATGGAGGGAAGACTTGGAAAGAATTGGAAAGATGTCTTACAACACACTCAATTTATACACACATCTTACTACTTCAAAAGGAGGCTCTCTGGAGACAGAAGTGCTGAGAACCACAGGCCATTCCAGGCCCATTTGCCTCCTGGGACCTCCTTGGCCTACAAGTCCCCAGTGCTCAGAGGAGCAAGAGCCCAGCAAACCGAGCGGGGCCTCAGGGCTGGCCCTCTCGCTCTTCTTGTAAGATGCCCAGCACAGACTTGTGAGGGATCCTGCACTCTTCCAGGGACTTACTGAGGTCAGAGAAGCTCCTCCTGGGAACCTCCATGGTTTCGATGCTACAGTGGTGATACGTTGTCAGGTTCTTTTGTTTGGCCACTGCAACAACAGTCTGGAGGCTGTCGGTCGGCCTGAAATGACGGACGAACCTCTGCCCCGAAGGAGACCGGACGGCCAGGAGCAGCCTGGGCTCTCTGTCTGATGGCTCCTCCAGGTTCCCAGCCTCGGACAAGCTGTGCTCTTTGGTTCTACTGCAGGGCTTGCCCTCCAGAGGAGGGGCAGCGACCCGCAAACACCCCTCCCTCGACTTCCCGCTGTGGGCCTCCTCCCGGCAAAGGGCCTTGAGCTCCTGTGAGCTGCCCAGCTTGAGAGTGCCGGCCTGTTTGGCCACCGTATCCACAGCCCCCTCTTCCAGGTTCTTTCTGTTAATGGAAGGGAGGACCCGGTACTTGTTGAGAGAGGAGGAGGGCCCTATGGGGACCTGCTGGAGCAGCTCCGGGATGTCATCGGGAGCTCCCTGATTGGGACGTTTGGGAGCAGAGCCCACTGGCTTCTGGCTGCCGGGCCCTTCGCAGGGAACTGCAGGAGCTGGGGAAGGTGGCTTGCGGTACGAGGAAGCCTCCGAACTATGAGAGCAGCTCAGATTTGTTCGTGTGCGTCCCTTGGCAGACTTGGGCCTCGCGACGTGCATGCTGACAGGGCTTGGCTGCCAAAGGAAAGTGGCTTCTGGGTCCAGAGCAGGGCTGCATTCAGACGGGGCTATGTTCAGAGGTGCTTCCGTGGCCATTGCTCCTCAAGGCACCTGTGAAGCAGGACAAATAAGAAACGAGTTACGGGTCAGGCCTCCCAGCGTCCTGTGGGGCAGAGCCTCGAGGCCACCTGTGGCCCTCTAGGTCCTCAAGGGCGGCCCTCTGACTGAATCCAAACTTCATAGAACAAATCCGGCACCCCAGAGCCTAGTCTAATCCCCCCAACTTATAGAAGAGGCGGAGATCCACGAGGTAAAGGGGCTTGCCAAGATCACCCAGGAAGGTCCAAAGCGGACGTCGGTCCCCACATTCTGTGGCCTTTCCACTCAGCCACAGCAGGAGATTTGCATCACATGACCCACGAGTGAGTTCCAGCTCGGCCCTGCTCGCGGCCTCAGGCTCCTTCTCTGTAAAATGAGGGGTTGGTACTAAAGGCTCTTTCAGATCCTCTCCCAGCTCTACAGCTTTACACAACTGTGGTCATGGCTCCTCTTGGCGGGCCCCGCTGCCTGAGGCTGCTGGGGTTCTGGGCCTGGAAGGCTGTCCTTTCTGGCATAGGGGAGAGCTACAATGTCCCCCAAACTGGCTCCAGAGCACTCCCAGGCACGGCGCTCTTCCAAACTACGGACACGGTCACTTGAACACCCGTTAGGTGGCTGGTTAAGGAAGCAGGGCTCACTTCCTCTCCAATGGCTGAGTAGAATGAGGACAGCCTGAGTTCTCAGCTTTCTTTTCCCTCAGTAAATCCACAGAATACATGCAGGGACCGGCCACTGGAGCTCGGAACTCTGTTCCGTGGTTAGGCCCAAGCTCCAGGTGATGGCACTGTCCATTCCTCCTTCCTTCAGCCCCCTCCCTCAATCTCTCCTCTCATATTCCTCGCTCTACACCAATCCCCAAATCCAACCACACTCCCACTCCTGCATTTTTCCTTCCCCCTTCCTCCCTCTTCACCTTTTCCAGCTGGTTTTAACATCTCTGTGCCCCCATTTCCTCCGCATGTCCCAACTATCACATGGGCCATGGTGCCTCACTCTGAGGAGTTCAAGAGGGCTTTCTAGGCAGGATGAATAGCCCTCCTTTACCTGAAAGAGATATCGGCCAGTAGACCAGGAGTGACTCTAGGGAATTTAAAGTCTGGCTCTCAGAGGGCTGGGGTCACTAACTAGTTTGCTATCACTGTGGGAAACCTGGAGAGCCCACGGATTTCCAAGTCACTCATCTTAACCCTGTCTCTATACTTTCCCTTTGAAATTGGGAACGGGGGAAAGACTAAATGGCGTTTGATATTTCGTTTCAAGGTCCTGTCTTGTTCTATCAGTACCTGGATCTCCCCCTCTACTTCCACTGCCTTGCGCCAGGACCCAGCGATCTTGGCTGGGCAGCATCACCCCAGCCCTGCTCTGTCCCAGAATCCTCAGAGCTTTTCCTGCCTGCCCTTGTTTCCTACTCCACCCACTCCAGAAGCCTAAGAGTGGCTGAAACACTTCCCTTGCCTCAGTCTCCCTCCCTCCTTCCCATTCAAAAGACTTTCCTTGGGAGCCCTGCCTCCTGCCCCCACCGTCACCACCAATAATAACTGACCTGTTTTAAGATAAAATCTCAAATTCATACTCTAGGCAGATAGGTGGCAAAGTGCACAGAGTTAAAGTGCACAAAATGCCCAGTTAAAGTTAGCAGAGTGGGTCTGGAGTCAGGAGCTGTGTGACTCTGGGCAAGTCACTTAACCTCTGTTGCCTCAGTTTCCTCATCTGTAAAATGAGGATAATAATCACAGCACCTACCCTCCAGGGTGGTTGTAAGAATCAAATGAGATAATTATAAAGTGCTTAGCAAAGAGCTAGATACATGTTAACTACTAGAATATAGCTATTTAAGGTTGGGTTACAAAGCACTTTGCTTATAACAACGCTGTGGTATATCTGAGGAGCTTAATCAATGCTTATTGATTAACTGACTGAGGTTAAGAGAAGTGAAGGGATTTCCTGAGGTCACACAGTTAAAGCATCAGGGCCACGCTTTGAACCCTGGTGGGCAAGCAGAGAACTCTTCGAAGTCCTCCTTGCTGTCTCAGGTTGTCTTTCTTCTCACACAATCCCCAAATCAGCAGGTCCCTCTGAGGTTGCTGCATCCACTCCAATCTCATGTATGAATCCCCTCCACCAAATCTTCAGTATCATCCATGTGACTATTAAGTACCTAAGAAGGCAGCTGGTTCCACTTTGGAAATACCATTCCTTATGGACAGCAGGAATTGACTCACCTAACTTTTCTCTGCTGCTCCGAGTTCTGCTCTCTGGGGCCAACAAGAAGTCTTTCCCTACGACCAAGTAACATCTTCGGGTATCTGAAGACACAGATGACGACAGCCCCCTAGATCTCACTTCCTCCTAGCTCTAGTGCCTTTGGCCAATCCCCTCATCACCCCCAGTGCCTTCTTCTCCAGGTGCATAGTGGCCTGTCATTATTTTTACTAAATGCGGCACCAACCCAGAGATAAACACAGTTCTTCGGATATATTTGACCCGTGTGAGGAACAGAATCTGGTTCCACTAACTCTCTCCAGCCACTGGCTAAGGTACCTGAGTGTGTGGTCTCTGGGCTACCAGAGAATGGGGTTTAAGTTGAAGCCTGTGTGTCAGTAACATGCCCTGAGCTGTACTGGAAAAGCTCCCTGCCACATCCAAAGGCTATAGAGCTCTCACACAGAGTGGATGATGGGCACAGCTTTATCCACTTTAGATTTACAAGGTAGTGAGAGCAATGGAAAGAAGCACACCTCGTTTGGGGGAAAGGTCTGGTAACTGGAAGCACTTGTAACACTTCTCTACATGTAATCTGGGGCAGGTCACTTAACTCTCTGAGCCTCAGTTTCCTCATCTCTGAGATGAATAATACCAGGGAGTTGTGAACCTTAGTTCACCAGTGGTTATTATTATAACCTCATTGGATTGTCACAACTTAATCCCAGCTATTCCACTAACTGAGGATATGGTAAGTATTATGATGCCTATTTTACAGATGAGGAAAGTGAGGCTTGGATCTCTGAAATGACAGCTCTAACTAAGCTCGCAAAGCTGGCAAACGCCCAAGCTGGGACTTGAACCCCCATCTCCTAACTCCTAATCCTGAGGCTTCTTGTTGATTTCCGAATTCTGGACAAGGCCACTTCCTGATATAAAGGCTCCCTCTGGATTTACTCCCACCTGCTCAGGTTTACTACCACTTTCTCCTTTCCAGCCTTCCACACACCATCTGGCTATATGGGGCAAGGCAGCACCACCACTGGCAATGCCCTGACTTTGGAGCAGCCTGCTCTGGACCTCTCATGTTCATGAACTTGATTTTTCACCCAGTCAGCCACAAGTAGTTTCTGGGTTTAGGGTTTTGTTTTTTTTGTTTTTGTTTTTTTGCCTATACCTTTTGGTTTGCCAAAGCACTTCAATCTGAGTTTCAGAGCGTCCCGCTCTGACTCAGCATGGCGTTGGAGGGTCAGTGCGTTGTGCAGCTGTGTTAAATATAAGCTCTGTAACTGGGGAGGCTGACAGTTTTTCGGTTTTCTGTCACGGTTATTAATTTGCTGCAGCTCCTGCCGGATGATCAGAGGCTCGGCTTAAAACTCCCACTCCTGCCACACCGAGGTTTCACTGTCAAGACGTTTGGTAACTTAGAAACCTCTTCGTTAATAACTTTGACAAGGAAAAGTCATGCGTACCCACATCTCTCCCCTGGAATATTTTTAACAGTGAGATCTGAATATGGACGTGCCTGTACTTTCCATACCTTTTTGGTGTTCTGTAATTAGCTTTGTTTAGGGGGTGTCTTATTCAAGACACCCTGGTCATAAGATAACATGACAGAGATCCCCCTCAGAGCCAAAGCCCCATTATGACTAAGCCTGAAGCCCACTCACAGTTATTTAGAGACTAACACCTCCTTCAGGTAAAGCAGCTTCATCTAACCTTCTTTCATAATCTCCTGCCGCCTCCTGCCTTCAGCGACCATCTGTTACTCGGAGGGAACACCAACTTTCTGTGGCATCCATCAGATTGGCAAGAGGTAGGAAACCAGGTGTTTCAGGATACGAGCCAGGCATTTTTTGCACTCACACCTTGGCGCTCCAGGCCTCCGCTGCTGTTGGGTTTCTTTTTTTGTTTGGTTTGAGGTTTTGTTTTTTTTAAAATTCCTTGGGCAAAAGAATGTGTCTGCAGCCACTGTTTATTATTCCTGCCCAACTCATTTCACAACATCAAGGCCTGGCAGGCTTTCAACACCCGGCCATTCTACAAGATCTAGGCGTGGGCATCCACCAAGCTGCCACCGAATCGGCAAGTGGCCTGTTTACTTAAACACCATTGCTGTACAGCAGAGGCTCGCCAGCAATCAGCACACAAACACTGGTGCCTGTTTCCAAGGAGTTATTAAAAGGGCAGTTATGTACTTCTTGGGTTTAAAGAGATCTCCCGGAACAGATGGAGGAGGGATAGATGGGATGAGCTTTTTTTAAAAGCCTTTCAAGAAGCCCCTCTAGTTGAAAGAGACTTTGATGCCCTCTACTCCACCCCCCTCCTTTTACAGATACGTCAAGAGATAAGGGGTGACTTGTCCAGTCACAGCTGGGAAGTGACAAGGCTGAGACTCAAACCCAGGTCTTTTAATTCCCAATCCAGTGCTCTCTCCACAACACCATGCTGCTCCCCAAAAGAATACATTCCATTCACAGTCCACTTCATCCAGGGTCAAGTCAGTAAAACATAACCATAGGCACACACTCTGTTGGGAGGGCCCGAGGAGGCACGGCTCTAAGTCGGACTCCTTAAATGCTCTGGATTGGCTCACAGGGGCGACTTTTGGACAGAACCAACAAAGAGAGGGCAGCTGGCCTGAGAACCCAAACACTGCGGTTCTCTTCCCAGTTTTATTTATGACCTGCTACCACACTTTATGACAAGGATGCCTCTTCCTGTGGGAAGCTGCCCATTTTAAAAGGGATTTGGAGAAATTGGACCATTTCACCAAAAGAATCAAGGACGAAAAAAAGGGTTTGGGAAAATTCTATCTGCAAAAGAGGAGGTTGAGGGGGCTGTTTGCTAACTCTGGGATACAAAAGGAAACCTCAGTCTGCTCTCTTTCACAGGAGTTGGCCCTGGAGAAAGGGGGCTTAAACAGCAGTAAGAGAGATGTAGGTCAGATAGAGGGGGGAATGCAGATGCACAGAATGTTGGAGTGGGAAGGGAGCTTAAAACATAAAAAGTTAGAGCTAGATAGGAGCAGAGATAATTGAATTCAACCCCCTCACTTTACAGAGGAAGAAAGAGAAGCCCAAGGGACTAGTTAAGTCAGTTAGCGGAATAGCTAAGAATAAGAACCGAAGTCAACACCCAGCCCAGGGCTCTTTCGCAAGCAACTAGGTGCTTCCTCTGAACGTGAGAATTGTTCAACACATCAGTAATGCTGAACTTTGGGGTGGCCCTGTTACCATTCAAAAGCATCAGCTACAATCTGAAAAGGAACTGGGAATGGTAATATTCACTCGCTGCAAGGAGATGCTTGGAAATCCAGGCTGAACTCAGAAGGCTCACAGGTCCCACCCAGCAAAAGCCTCTGGTTCCAAATCTGTCAGAAGACCAGAACCTAAATCCAAGCTGGGCCACTTAGTACTTGTGTGAGGTTGGGCAGCTCATGCCCCTCTCTAGGACTCAGTTTCCTCCTTTGTAAAATAAGGGGGGGGGTTGAAGGAGGTGCTTTCAGATTTGTCTACAATTCATATGAGAAGCAGGGGAAGGACCTGGGGCATATTCAGCCTGGGAAAGAGAAGATTCAGAAAAGACACGGTAGCTGCCTTCAAGTATCTGAAGATCTGTGAGAAGAGTGAAGGTGCAGAAAGCAGGACAAGCTTCCTAATGATGAGAGCTGTCCCAAAAGGTTGCCTCAAGAGATGGTGGGTTCCCCCTCCTTGGAAAGATTCAAGCAGAGGCTTTATTGGGGGAGGGGGATTCCTTCTTTGTGTTGGACTACATGGCTCCCAGATCCCTTCCAATTCTCCAATTTTGTGACTGGCAGGGGCCTAGACCTTCAGAGGACAGATAGATGGGGCAGGGGTCTCTGAAGCACAGCACCAGCCTGCCGGCAAAGTCTGTCCCCTACCGCATCCCTTTCCTGAATATAGCTTGGATCATAAGATTTTCAGAATCGAAAGAGAATTTGAAGGGTTAGTCCAAAGCTGCCTTTTACAAAGAAGGAAACTGGGGCCTGGAGAAAAACTTGAATGTGAAAGGAAGCTAAAACAAAAGACAAAGCCTGGCAATAAAAGGGAGCTAAAATTCGCCAGCAGCATGGAAATACATGGCTCAGAAGTTAATCTTGGGGAGGTGGGTCCAGACCTGTGATTCCATTAGTGTGGGGGAGTTCCTGCGGGGGGGGGGGGGACTCCCTCCACCAATGCAGATCAACAGCTCGCCTGCACCATGCAATCTTAGAGGGTGGCCTGAGGTTCAGAGAGGTTAAGTGATCTGCCCACGGTGACACAACAGGTGGGTTCCTGAGGCAGGACTTGAACCCAGGTCTTCCTGACTCCGTTTCACCCCACTGCCCCTCTTACGGTCAACAGGGACAGAACTATGGGTGAATTTTAAAGCGCTTTAATCCGAGGCCGTCCACACCTAGGGCTGCGGGGATCTTTGCACGGCGGGAGATGGGTGTTGGGGGGAGGCCTCAGTTTCCCCCCTGGGAAATGGGCTCGCTAAGGCCTCCGAGGCGGAGCCGGGCTCTGTGGCCGGGGTGGGGGGCGGGCCCCGGGGCGGGCGGGGGGGGGGGCAGGGGGTCCCGGGTCCGAGGGTCCTGGAGACCCCGGGGGTCGGGGCTGCGACGGCTCTCACCTCGCCCCAGCTCCATCCGCCGTCTCCCGCACCAACGCAGAACTGCGTGTAAACAGCGCCCGTCCCCACGGCAACCGCCGTGAGGGTCACGTGCTTCCGGCTAGGACCGGAAACAGCTCTGCCCCCGCCCTCCCCCTCCCCACCTTTCCCCTCCCACCTTCCCCCCTCAAAACTCTCGAGACCTGTGAGAACGGACGGCGCCGTGCTAGAGCGCCCCCTCCTGGCCCGCCCGGAGGCAGCGGTGCTCTTCCCCAATCCAGCCCCACCCCAAACCCTTACCATGTGCTTTCTCCTTGAAGCAGAGCCTGTGGTCCCAGGGGGTCCACTGCCAGCTCCCTTTGGCTTCATTTCTCCCTCCTCCCCTGGGAAATGTGTTTCTTACTGGTTTTAGGACAACGGGCTCTTCTCCAAGCCCTCAGTGAGAACAATAAACAAAACATCTGCCCAGAGCCAACCATGGTGCCACGGTCAGCGCTCCTGTTTGGGGTCAGAGGTTGGCTTAAATTTGAATCCTGGCTCTTCCACTTACAATCCAAGTGACCTCGGACGACTCCCTTGACCTCCCTCCCCCTCAGTTTTCCCATCTGAAATGGGGGAATGGACCCAATGACTTCTGAGATCCCTCCAGCTCTAAATCTCTTCTTACAGACAAGGCATGGCAGGAACTAACTGTGTGCTCTTGCCTAACGTACTTCTTTTCTCTGGTCTCTCCTGGCCCGTAGGCAGCTGGCAGTAGATAGAGCACTGGACACAGAATCAGGAACACCTGAGTTCAGATACAGCCTCAGACGTTAGCTGGGTGACCCTGGGCGAGTCACTTTTACTTGTCTGCCTCAGTCTTCTCATCTGTAAAATGAGGGTCATAACAGCCCCTATCTCCTGGGCTGGTTGTGAGGGGGTTGGACTAGAATTGGAATGTTGATTGTTTTGATTGGTGGTGACAATGGTAACAAGGACAGTGGCAGTGACGGGGATGGTGTGGATAAGGATAGTAGTAACAATGGTGTTGTTTAGGATGTTGGTGGCGAGCATGGTGATGGGGTGGTGATGGTAATGTCATTGGCAGCCATAGTGGTGATATTAATGATGATGGGGAAGGTGGCGGTAGGGATAAAAGTGGGAAAGATGGTAAAGGTGATGTCAGTGGCACTTAGGAGGATGTTGGTGGCAGTGATGATGGTGATGATAACAGTTATAGTGATGTTGATAAAGATGGTGATACAGGTCACGATGATGGCGATGAAAGCAGGGATAGGGATAAAAGCAGAAACAACTTCATTCAGCCCCAGGTTGGAACCCACAGCACCAATTCCATGTTAGCAGCTGCTGTTTAGTGGGAACATTTGTTCTTGATTTGACAAGCGACTTCCGTATCCAGGAATCGGCACCCAATTTCCTGAACCATCTGTCCTCACTCTCATTATAGAAATGTCTGAAATAAGTAATTACCTTTTCACCATTAGATGAACTGATCAGACCATTTGCGGTAGTGGGCTGAGAAGGAAGGTCAAAGGTAGGAAGGCCTCATATATCCAACTTCTTTGGGGGAATGGTCTGGTTCACAGGAGCCAATTTTTCAGATAGCTGGAGTTCATGTCTTTGAACTACCCAACTTTTTTTTTTTACTTTCATTACTTCCAAGGAAAGCTTTTCTTAAAGTATTATTTATTTGCCTGCCTGCTTACACAGAGCACAAACAGTCCTAACCTAGATTTACATGTGAATGGCCACTCCCAGGTAGAAATTGAAGATTGGTTCTACTGGGAAATTCATGACAAGTTCTAAGCTACTGACTTTTGAAACACAATCATTCATAAACTCAGGGTTGTGTTTATAATAAGAATAATAATTTCAACCAGCAATTATTGAGGGCCTACTCAGTGACAGCTAGGAGGATGAAGGAAGGAGATACAAAGACTCAAATAAAATAGTGCCTGCCCTCAAGGGGCAGATCCAAGGGAAAAGACAACCCACACACCCAATGCACACATCATCATCATCATAATAGCTAGTATTTACATAATGCTTTAAGGTCAGCAATGCGCTTTACAATATAAGGATGAGATGGTAATAATTATAATAATTGGCATTGTCCCGTTGTTTCAATCATTTCCAACTCTTTGTGAACTCTTTGGGGTTTTCTTGGCAGGGCCACTGAAATGATTTATCATTTCCTTCTCCAGCTCATTTTACAGATGAGGAAACTGAGGCACACAGAGTTTAGTGACATGCTCAGGGTCACACAACTAGTAAGTGTCTGAGGCCAGATTATAATAATATTAGTAATATTGCCTTGCATTTCTCTAGTAGCTTAAAGTTTGCAGAGCTGTTTCTTCACAACAACCCTATGCATGTACTTGGAAACTGAAGCTCAGAGGATCATGGGTTCAAATCCCAGCTTTGCCGTTTACTTGATGTGTGACTTGGAGCAAATAATTTCCCTTCCAAAAGCCTCAATTCCTGAATCAGTAAAATGAGGACTCAGGACTTGGCCAAAAAAAAAAAAAAAAAAAAGGCCTGTGTGTGTGTGTGTGTGTGTGTGTGTGTGTGTGTGTGTGCATGTGTCCTGACTTGTTAAAGAGATGCCTGGTCGACTATAAAGTGCCATGAGAGGGTGAGCTCCCCTCTGTTGTCATTTGCTGGGGGCTGCAACACCAGGAAAACAGGCTTGTTAGAACACTGTATAAAAGAAACAGCAAATGGGCTCTGAGTGACAGCCTCTCTTCTGAGGAAAATCTGCCTTCAACACCATCTCCCAGTCCCAGCCTGATCCTCTCATCCTAAAACATTTTCTTTTAAGAAGTATCTCATGTCCTCTGATCCTAAGTAAACTCAATGCACCTGACCCAATTCAATTCAATCCAATCTAACAATCACTTATTAAGGGCCAGGTCTCAGTTCATTCCTCTGTGAAATGAGAGGGTTGGACATTAGAGGATCTTTAAAAGACCTTCCATCTCTAAATCCTATGACCACATTATCTGGGAAATGCTGCCCCAGAATGATAAGCCTAGTGCGTTCCTCTGCTGGGTCCTCTGACTACATCTTGCCTAAGCTTCCAAAACTGCCTTAATCGGTTTTAACAGACTCTATTACCTGGTCCAACTGCAAGGCAGGTTCTGCTCAGAAAAGGTTGTGGACAGCCAGATACTCTGTTCTCCCCTGTCCCCTTCCAGATCTCCTCTACACACTGCTACCCATGAACCAGAGACCCTGGCAATTCCAGAACTGCTTTGCTGCTGACTCTTGTCCAAAGTGCTGAAGATAGCGTGGGGTCTTCTGGATTGGGGGAATCAAGGATGAACTAACTTAGAAATAAAACAGAGTGTAATACCTTGTTATAACTTGCAGTTATCTAAAACCTGGGTCATTAAAACCTGAAAATTAAAATCCTAGCCCCAGAGAGCATATCATACACCTGCAGAGAAGTCAGTTCTAGGCAAATCATTTCTCCTTTTATGGAACTCAGTTCCCTCACTTGTAAAATGAAAGGGTTTAACTAGGTGACATTTAAGGGGCTCTTATATGCTTAAACATTTGATGTTCTAAAGTCCGTCAGAACTCTACCAGTTAATGTTTTAAGAATGCTTCCAGCTCTGTCATTCTGTGTTCCAAGCATCCTCCCAGTTCTGACATTGTCTTCTAAGGAGCATCTTGGCTCTGACATTCTCTGTTCTATCTCCTCTCAGTTCTGACATTGTGTTCTAAGGCCCTCTCAGCTCTGACATTCTGTGTTCTAAGATCCCTTCCTGATTTGACATTATGTAGTTCTATGAATAGATTTGAAAGATTTCTCCATTTCTAAATTCCACTTACTAATCCTCCCCACATATTTCTGCTTGTTCTGTTGACAGGACCTTTCTTCACCGTGACATGAATTAACAGCTACATTTCCCACCTGGTTCATACTTCATCCGACTATTCTATCTGACTAGATCTACTGCCTTGAAGAGGAAGTGTGGCATTCTTCCCTTGACCCCATCTTTGCTTCTGGGTGATGAAGGTTGTCTCAATCGTTGCAGTCCTCCTCTGTAAGTCACTAAATGCTCTGAAATAACTTCAGTGCCTTGTCCTGTCTGTGTCAGCATCTATGTTTATAAGCATGGGCTCTGTTGGGAGGTAGGAAGATGGGGAGTGGGAGGGAAGAGAGGAAGAACCACAGTCATCAGGTGGAGAGTGGGGGAAAAAATGGATGGAACACTCTTCTGCCTGAGTTCTCTAGGAGCTGCAGTTCCCAGACTGATTGGTTCCTTGGACTGTTAGTGTTTCACATGATGAGGGCTAGGGTTCCATGAAAACATTTCACTACTAGCAATACTTTCAGGGTTTTTGTTTGTTTGTTTGTTTTTAGGCAATTGGGGTTAAGTGACTTGCCCAGGGTCACACAGCTAGTAAGTGTCAAGTGTTTGGTCTGAGGCCTGATTTGAACTCAAGTTGTGTTGACTTCAGGGTCAGTGCTCTATCCACTGTGCCACCTAGCTGCCCCAATTTTCAGTTCTAAAAATGGAGGCAGCTAGATGGCCCAGTAGATTATGGGCTGAGTTTGGAATCAGAAAGACCTGAGTTCAGCTCTTGCCTCAGATGCTTATTCAATGTGTGACACTGGGAAAGTCTCTCTATGACTCAGTTCCTCCTTTGTGAAATGGAGGGGTTGGATTCCACGGCTCCTTCCCAACTCTGAAACTATGCTGGTGTGTGCCAAAAATACTTGTGTACAACAACACAAATCCATATCAAGCTTGGCTTATTTTCCTCTCTTCCATTCCAAAATTTTCCCAACCCTTCTTTTCATGATATAGTAAAAAGAGAACCAGATTTGGGTTGAGAAGAGTAGGAGTTTGAATCTTCGATCAGGCCCAGGACCTGTGTGACTACAAGTAAGCCTTTCTCCCTCTCTGGGCCTCAATTGGCTCCTGTGGACCAGATCTCTTAAGATGCCTCTCAACTCTACGGCATATGACCCTAATCTAGAGGATGGCCCATACCCCATTCCCCCACTCATCTTCAGCTAGCACTGACAAATTCCTCTAATATCTTTCTTGCCCCCAAAGTGTTCCATGGATGGTTGATTTGCCAGCAGCCCAGAGATGTGGCTAGATCCCCATAACCATGCTGAGCTTGTTTCTCCATGTCTGGGATGGGCTGAGGCTGCTGGACTTGCCGTACTGCGGACCTGCAGGTCTCCTGGGGCGTTGTTATGAATACTGGTGTCATCATCACTAACAATAACTAAGAAAGAGGTAGTTTTTCTCCTACCAGATTTCATTTTCCCTTGGAAAATATTCCTCTTTATTTAGACTCCTGAAGACTCCTGGTCACATGTAATTAAAAGAGAAACATCTGGTTTGCTCATTACAGAAAGAACACATCATTCTTTCCTCAGCTCACAGTCCCAACAGATAACATTTGGACAGCAACATTGGAGATTTACAAAGAACTTTTGCCTCCATGAACTCGTCAGAGCCATGTGGGGCAGGGCAGAGATTACTGGTTCTACATTGCACAGGAGGAAACTGAGACTCCAGCAGGAGAAGGAACTTGCCCAGGGTCCCATAGATAGTGAACAGCTCTTTCCAATATGTGTTGGTACTCTCTTCTAAATTTTGGAAGTGACACACAATTCTCAAGAAAGTGATTATCAAAGATTTTATCTCTCTCTCTTAAAAAGTTATATATATATATGTATGTATATATATATATATATATGTTCATGTATGTGCATGTTTGTGCACGTGCCTTCTCGTTAACTTTGCTGTTCATATTTAGGAGTCTGAAGACCTTTGTCCTGATACCACTTCTTGGTTCGAGCCACTAACTAGCTGGGTGACCTTGGTCAAGTTGCTTTCCTTCACCATCTAACATTTTCTTTTCTAAGGTCTCTTTCACCTTTAACATTCTGTGTTCTAAGGTTCTACTCCAGCCTTGACTTTTTAACTATTTAAGGTCTTTTTCAGCTCTTTTCTTTTCCAAGGTCCCTCCTAACTCTCACATCCTTTGTTGAAAGGCCCTTTCTAGTTTCAACATTCTCTCTTCTAAGGTCCCTTTCCATCTCTGACGTTCTCTGTTCTAAGGTCCCTTTCCATCTCTGACATTCTCTGTTCTAAGGTCCCTTTCCATTTCTGACATTCTCTGTTCTAAGGTCCCTTTCCATCTCTTACATTCTCCTTCTAAGGTTCCTTTCCATCTCTGACATTCTCTGTTCTAAGGTCCCTTCTAGCTCTCACATTCTCTGTTCTAAGGTCCTTTTCTAGCTCTGACATTCTCTATTTTGAAGTCCCTTCTAGCTCTATGTTCCAAAGTTCCTTCCAGTTCTGATATTTTCTGTTCTATGTAAGGCTCCTTCCAGACCTAACCCTCTGTGTTCTAAGTTCCTTTCCTGGTTCTAAGATTCTGCGATTGTGAATACCTTGATAGGGGCCAGGTTTCTTGCCTTGTGATTTCTCAATTGCATATTTCCATGGGAACTTCATTCCTGCTTGGCTTCTCCCCATGAGGTCCCAGGTCCCCCATTTTCTCTTTGGCAGTGCCCACGCTGACCCACAGCAGCTTCTGGCAGTTTGGAAGGATGATCAAGCTCGTGACTGGGAAAAATGCCTTATTCTCTTACTATGGCTATGGCTGTTACTGTGGCCTGGGGGGCAGAGGAAACGCAGTGGATGATACTGACAGGTAACTATAGACCAGCCATAGTCTGTAGCCTTCTCTAGGGATTTTGCCTAAGCACAAAGGGAGAAAGGAGATCAGATGATTTTTAAATGTGCTTTCAGAACAGATCAATGACTTTGGCATGAAGCTTAAAAAAAAACTAGAAAAACAACAAATTTAACCCCCCCAATTAAATATCCAAAGTAGAAATTCTGAAAATCAAAGATTAACAAAAATAAATTTTAAAAAGCCACCGTTTAATTGTTAAATAAAACTAAGATCTTTTTTTTAATTTAAAAAAATGTCTATTCAGAGTGTTGAGTGTTGAGGCTGGATTGTTGCTAGCGCATTCCTTACAAAGGGTGGCCAGCTTTGAAGAAGTAGAATGTTATTAGACCTGTCTACCAAGGACAGAACTGAGGGGGCCTCCTGAATAACTGCCATAGCAATAATAACTCAAGGTTAATTACTAGACATTTATTGAACACCTACTGTGTGCTAAGCACTATGCCTAGTGCACTTATGTCACTCGATAAGCTTCCAGAGTTCTTCCACCTCTTCCATATCTGTGTCCTAAGGGTCCTTTCAGCTGCAATGTTATGTGATCACAAAAGGCTAAGCTCTACTGGCTCCCATTCTGCAAATGTCCGTCAAAGACTAGCAGGATGAATTAGGGGATCAGTGAGCAGCATTCTTCTTCACATCTTGAGTCTTAGCACAAAATTCAAGATTTTTATCTCTCCTGCAATCAAACTCCTGAATTTACTCTCCTGGCCCTGGCTCCCTCTAGGGAGGGAGAGGGTCAGGAGGGATGCAATAGGTTGGTCCCTTGCAAAAAGAATGCACTGATAATAAGCAATATTCCCATGGTGCTTTGTGGTTGCAAGGTGCTTTACATGATCTCATTTCATCCTCATAACAGACCTGGGAGGTGAGTAGCACAGGTCTGATTATCAATCAGTGAGGACCCACAAAGCCCAGAGAGGTTCTCTGACTCCAAATCTAGGTTGAAAGCCCTTTCGGTGGCTAGCCTCTCCCCGAGAGCCTTTCCCATCTCAAGTCTTTCAGCTGCCTCCTCGTGGAGCCAAAAGCGTGCTCTTTCCCTTGCCTGTCCCATCTCCAACTCCAGGTGCTGTCAGGACCATGACTGCTGCTATGCTGAGCTGAAGACCTGTTGTGGCTGTCAGCCAATGTTTACCACCTACCAATTCCACATTGTCAACAGAAGTGTGATCTGCTGTGAGTAGACACCAGAGCATTAGAGAGGAGTCACTAGCTCTCTCCCATAAGGGTTCTCTTCACTTCTCCCTGGTTCACTTTTGTTTCCTTGCTCACCCAGAAAGTCTCTAGGAAAGAAGATTTAGGATCTGGGAAAGAGAAATATTAGACCTGTTGGGAGGGCTCTTGCAACACAGGATGTCAGAACTGGGAGGGCTCTTAGAACATAGAATACCAAGACTGGAAGGATCCTTAGAAAATAGAATGCTTGAGGTGGGAGGGATCTTAGAACATGGGATAACAGAATTAGAAAGGCCCTTAGAATACAGAACGTACGTACACACACACACACACACACACACACACACACACACACAGAATCAAAAGGAATGTTACAAAATTATAAAGGATAAGTGAGAACATGCGAAGTCACTCCTACCCCGTCCCTCTGCAGAGGTGCAAACACCTCTACATTGTACATATTTTCACACTTTTTCAATACATTGTTCAGTTATGCTGCTTTTTTCCCTCTTCTTTGTGGTTTTGTCATTAAAAAATTGCTTTTTATATATTCGTTGGGAGCAGAAGAGAAGGGACACCGTGGGGAACTATGGCGATATGAAAAGAAAAACAAAATACATCAATAAAAACTAAAATAACATAGATGGTCACAGTAAGAAGGGAGCTTAGAGCATCCAGTGTCAGAACTAGGAGAGACCATAGTGCACAGAATGTCAATGAAAGAAGGGCCCTCAGAGTGAAGAGCTGGAAGGGACCAGAAGAGACTTTGAAGATTATCTAATCTATTCCCCTCATTTTATACAAAAAAATCTAAGGGTCAGAGAGAAAGAACTGATCTGTCTGTAGTCATATGATGAACTAGTGGCAGTCAGGACTTGAACCCAGGACTCACACTCTAAAGCCATTTGTCCTCTACCCTCCCAGCTACCCAAATTCACCCTCTGGGGAGCTGGTTCGCTGACTCCACAGGCTTTCCGAAGCACTGATCTGTCCCTTTGTAATTCTCTAGTCTCAATTAGGGGGTGAAGCATTTTCCTCGAAGAGCAGCCCTGCTGGTCCTTGAAATCCTGCACCCAGGGCCCAGCTGCCAGTGTCCTGTTGGTCCAGTTTTATCCTGCCCCTGGTTGCTTAGCAACCAGCAGAGCCCAGGGATACAGTAGAGGGGAATGAGAAAAATAACTCCTAGTCTGTCCACATTTCTAAATGTCATTGGGTGATCCATGTAAATAAAGGACCATAACCTGACCCCCAAAGCCAGTCTCCATGATGAGGGCTGCCTCATGGGATGGAGTAGAAAGCTGTTGTCTCTCAGTATGGGGGTGATTTATATAACTGCTGATGGCTCGGAGATCATAAGTGGCTTATGGTGCTGGAGGGAACCTTCATATGTGGAATGCTAGAAAACAGAATGTTAACTCCAGAAGGGACCCTAGATCGACACACTTATTTCACAGGTAAGGAAAGGGGGCTCTAGAGTCAAATAACTACAGAGTGGTCAAGGAAAATGAGAAGCATGGCAGCTAGGTGGCCCCGTGGATAGAGCTCCGGCCTTGGAGTCAGGAGGACCCGAGTTCAAATCTGGCCTCAGACACATGACACTTACTAGCTTTGTGACCCTGGGCAAGTCACTTAACCCTGATTGCCTCACCAAAAGGCTAAAAAAAAATGAGAAGCGAGGAAAGGCCATCAGATTTAGCAATTAAGCCAACCCTGACCTTAAACAACTGAGTCCCAGAGAGAAGTGACATGCTGGAATTTACACAGGCAGCAGAGGCAGCCTCTAGGCCCTGGGTCCTGGAATACAGATGCTCCAATACTACACAGTCTTCAACTCACTTAGTAGCCAGGGAATGGGAGTGAAAGTGGGCAAGAATGTCACCATGACTTTTTTTTTTTCCCAAGAGCTGTTTCCTAAAATTCAACAAATTCCCTGAAATAAACACTTAATTAAGTACCTGCTATTTGCAGAACACTGTGACAGGTACTGGGGGTGGTACAAAGTTTAGATAAAGCCTGGGCCCCACCTGCCTCTTTCTGACTGCTCCTATTTGCACAGTTCCATAAAGTTTATAAAGTGTTTCCCACCCCAATCTTGTACTTGTATAATGTATCTAGTTTATTTTATATTCAATATACTCATTTTATGGATAAGGAAACTGAGCCTCAGTGACTTACCCAAGTTCCCATAGCTAGCAGACAGCAGAACTGGTTTTTGAACCTGAGTCTCCTCCCTTGACATTACTTTTTACAACAAGCAATGCAGACGGGGTGGGGGTGGGGGTGGGAGGAGAGAACCAAGCTTGGATAATTTTCTAGATCCTCTAAAGTCCTGTCCCTGTCCCCAGCCAAGTTTGTAATGATAATAACTTACCAGCCGAGTGCCCAGTTTATCAGAGATGCTCAGTATGTGGGAGGGTGAGGCAGAAAGATTCCATATAACAACAGCTGACTTGTCTAGAGCACTTTATGATTTGCAAAGGGCTGTAAGACAATTTTTCCCTTATCTGACCCTCACAACTGTCCAGAGAGGCAAGTCCTATATCTATTATTATCCCCATTCTACGGATGAGAAAACTGAGACTCAGAGAGGTTGTCACTTTGAACATGGATCTTGTCTAACTCTTGGTCTAGTGTTCTTGCAGCTCTACTGCATTATCTCCTGTGTTGTCAATATGAATATATGTGTATGTACATATTCTTACACATATATGATATGTGTTTGTATATGTATGAATTACATATATGGGTATATCTATCTATTATATATCCTATGACACCCTCCAATACAACGATACATAATTGCCCATAAAAACAAAACACTTAGCCCCCTAAAAAGTCTTACCCCAGACTTCTCCTTTCTGATGAAATATCACACTAGTGGTAGAAATTGTCCAAAACACAAGCTCCAAGGTGGGGAAGGAGGGAGGGGAATAAGCATTTTTATTCAGCATATGCTATGTGCCAGGCACCGTTCTAAGCACTTTTACAAATATCCCATTTGAGATGGAAGACTTCCCTACCCCATAGGAAGGGAAGTCCCGGACTTAGGAGATAACTGTTGCCTTAGAATCACAGAATCTCAGAGATGGAAATGACTTTCAAGGGCCATTTAGTCCCACCCATACATGATTAAAAATTCCCTCTCTAGCATACTTGGCAAAAGTTGGGGTAGAAGCTTGGGGGAGAAAAAAGAGAAAAAACTACAGTCCTCCACCTTCAGCACCTTCAGCATTTCCCTTTCCCATCTGTAAAATGGACAAAAAATTTCAACATCTACTTCACAGGGTTGTGGGAGGGACAGGGAGGGAAGTGCTCTGTCAGTTTTAAAATACCATTGAAATGGAAGCCATTATTATTAACTTTATGTAGAGCCTGGTTAGGATCCAGATATCACATCACCCCAACCTCACCTTTGTGGTGTTTTCTCTCCCCTCATAGATGGTGGCAGGAGCAGCGGGAGTCTCTGTGGGTCACTGACCTGTGAGTGTGACAAGAGATCTGTTCACTGCTTCAGAGAGAGCCTTCCCACCTATAAGAAGAATTATCAGTTCTATAGTCAGTCCCGGTGTGGTGTGAACAAGGTCGTGTGCTAAGGAAGAGGACAGGACATAGTGCTTTCCCACGACAACAGATGAGAGACTCCCCCTTCTCTTAAAACTCTGCACAAGACTCACCTTCAGGAAAACTTCCCAGATTAAGCTCAGCACACTCAGATCCAGACCCACAGATTGTTAGAGTTTTGAACGTGGATATAGAATGTTAGAGCTAGAAGGGCCTTTAGAACCTAGAATGTCAGAGCCGAGAAGAATCTCAGACTATAGAATTCCAGAGCTGGGAGGGACCTTAGAGCACAGAATATGAAAATAGAAAGGACCTTTAGAACATAGAATGTCAGAACTAAAATGGACCTTTTTGATCACCTCAGGTTACATGACGATTTATGTTTGAGTCAGCACCCCATTGTAACCATAGGTCATGAGTTCCCATTGGTATGTTTACTTTTGCCAGACAGAGGACATGTTGATACGAAGCAAAAAACACTGCAACAAAGAGTATTGCAAATAAAGAGAAAAGAAAACATACTCAAAATACACACAGGTACATTCCCCTCACCTACAAATTGCCAACAGTACTAATGGGGTGGGCATACTTGCAGAGAGCACATGAGATCAGGGAATATACAACACATGGCTGGGATGATTCACACCTGCAACGTTGCAGAATTGCTAACATCCACTGGTGATGTGATCAGGCTGGCTGTCAAATCCCTTCTCTCAATCACCAGGTCTCTGCTGGGCATTGCATGGATGCCTACTTTCTGTTGGATTATCTCTGCCGGGTGTCTCCACTGGTCTCTCGGTTGCTGAGCTACTGTCTGATACTATCTGCTGGACCTTAGATATTTAATCTCTTCAGGAACATCTGCTGACTTTTACTGAGGTGCTATGACTGGAAAACCTCTTACTGTCAGGGAAAGCTGCAGCTCTCAAAACGTATAATTTGAAGGTTATGATCCAACCATCAGATCTATGCAGGCAGCCAGCGAAAATCAGCAGCATGCCCCAGATTAAATTTATTCGTTTGATTTTTTTTCTCCTAGTATATTCTCAGGGCACTTGATCACAGAAACTGCCTGATTTAGAGTTAGAAAATTTATTTTAATGTCTGCTAAATCCTTGATTATGATCCCCCTATCTCCTTATCCCATTTTGGAAATTCAGCTCTGCCTATTCCCTTTCCAAAAAATACACTGGAGTTGTATAGAGAGCACGAGTGATGAAGGCCTCTTACTCCCTTCTTCTTTGATTCACATGCAAATGAAGCTAGAGACAAGAACATTTAGTAGAAGGGAGCAGAGCCATAGTGTCCACCATGTTTCACACTGCTGCCTTTGTTACAAAAGTGCTGTTATATTTTGTGTTATAATGTAGCTCACCTCTCCTCATACAACAAATAAGGAAGATGAGACCCAGGGCAATGAAATAACTTGTCCAATGTTGCTTAGTAAATCAGGGGTAAAGCTAGGATTTACATCCAGGTTTCCTCACTACTAGTCCCCCTGGAAGGAAGGTGTTCTAAAAATGTTCCCTCGAGAGTATCTTACCACTTTAGAGTTTTTCTGATTCCATGAAGCATTCATGGGTGATGAATGGTTGTCTACCAGACTTTCCTATCCTACCCCTTCAGCTTTATATCCACCCCTTCACCTTAAAACTTAGACCTAAATGTAGGGCTTCTAGGGGTTAAAACAGATTACTCAGACTTCACTTAGAGGTTGCAGGGAGGAAAAAGAGGTCGACTAATCACTCAGTATCATAAGATTCAAAGCCAAAAGAGATCCTCGACTTTATCATTTTTGCAGAGAAGACTGAGGCTCAGAAAATAGAAATTATTTCTCCATGTAAATTATAAGATCAGGGATTCTGATTCCAAGTCTAGTGTTCTTTCCAATGCACAATGTAATTGCCTCTCCCAAAACAGGATTGATGGAAGACACCAGGACCATCCCAACAGTGGCAGGCAATGCCCAAGAAGGGCTGGGAGCAGAACAAAAACCAGGAGTGAGAGGTTGTTGCTACGTCTCTTAAGTCCTTGAGAAACACAAACACAGCATTTCCTTTTCAACTGCTTGAATTCTGTCCTCCATAGAAACCCACAACAGGGAGGGAAATAATGAAGAGTAAAACAACTAAACCTCTCTTACCTCCCGGTTGACAGGAAAACACCACGAAAATGTCAACAACTAAGGGAAGAAAAGGTGGCAGGAGGAAGAGGCGTCCTGGCTGAGAAAGTGACTGCTATTGACTACTGATGGAAAAAAGCCAAGTGTAGCTGGGGACAGAGGGAAACATACTATGAGAGGTGGGAACATAGGAAGAGACGGAAAGAAGGAGCCAGGAAAAGATACACCAAAGAGAAGGATAGCCACATAAAGAGGAATTCAGGCAGTGTACAGAGAGCACGTCTAGGAAGGATAGTGATGGAACCTGGAACCTAGCCTCCTGGGCCCTCTTCCAGTCTCTGATGTCCCAGATTGTAAATGAGTGCCTCCTGATCTCCCCCGACCCCACTCAAAAAAGTTCTCTCTCCCTTCAAGGGAAGTAGTAAGAATTTTAGATAAGCATGGGATGGAAGCCAGCTTGTCATCTCCTATCTATGGTTCCTGGTCATTAACCCAGAGGCTAAAGACACATTTGGGTCATATCATTGTGACCTGTGGCCCAGGGGACCTCCCCCCACCTCCTAGAGAGGACTCTGACGCTGGGTATCAGGGGACCCAGATTAATCCTGGTGGTAACCAGACCCCAAAGAGTAGAGAGCAGGGGTTTTTTCCTAACTTTTTGGTTCATTTTGCCCCCGATTTGGAGTAAACCTCTGGGGAAAATCTCTACAATGAAATTTAGGTAAGACTCATGTCTGGGATTTCCCCAAAACTAGGCTATCAGGGTCCCTTCTAGAAAAGGTACTCAGATGAATGAAATAGAGATAGATAAATAGGTAGGTAGATAGATAGACAGACAGACATATATATAGGTAGGTAGATAGATAGACATATATGTATATGTATACATATATCTATCTATATTCATAGAGAGACAAAAATAGAGACAGAGAGACAAAGACACAGAGAGGAGATAGGGATATACTATACCTATATTGTATTGGAGAACTATACATACATATACAGGTATATAGGATATATGGGCTAAATGTGTATAGGATAACTATATATTTCCTCCACCACAAAATAAATACTTAAAATGCAAAGGATTCATAAGGGCACACTAGCAAACACTTAAGACATGAAACAATAAACCATCCCACCTATTATATTTTCCCAAAAGGTAAAGGCACTTTGAAAGATTACTGAATAGACACTTCACTGTCATCTCAAGCCTGTACTGTCTAAATGACTGAAAAGGCACAGATTTACTGGCCAGCTAGTCATGGCTCCTTTCAAGTTCAAAATGATCTCAGCGGTTTTCTCCTCCTCCAAAAAGTAGTATAGTTGCAGGAACTTCCTCCTGCTTGGCTAGAACCAACTCAGAAATCTAGGAACTCTTGACCTTGAGAAGTAGCCGCTGAGGTTAGAAATGCCAATTTCTCAGGATGGCAATTTTGTGGTGTGCTCTAGGAAAGAAACACAAAGCAGATAAGGCAGCCAGGGATGTGAGGCCCAGTCTTAGGCTCCCTTGTTCTCACGTGTACTTGTAGCCAACATCATTTTTTGGAGAAGTATGCGTGGGGAAGGGAGAGAAATCTTCTAATCCATTCCCCCACCCAAAGACCAAGGGAGAACTGGCAGAATCCCCAAGCAACACCCTGAAAAGAAGAGGAAATAGAATCCAGCTCTTATAGCCACCTGAGCGTGGCGATTCCTCCTGGCTCTATTGACTGCCATCTATGATACCATCCAAGTCATAGGAATCATTGAGGAATTAGCTGTTGGTTAACTGGTGTCTTTAAGAAAGGGGCCAGCCTTTATGTCCTGCAGAAAGGGACCAGATTATGTGCCCGGCTCCATGGAAAATGCCCCAGCCCAGCAGATAAGAAGAGTAGGTATGGGGTGGGGGAGGGTGTGGATTCCCTGGTTATCCCTGTCACTCCATTCTTGTCAAATGGCAGGTACAGAGAACGGGTGTCCTTTGGGTCAATTTAGTGCTGTAGAGGAGATAGGATAACCTCCTGCCACTGTCACTGTTCAGATCTTAAAAATGGATACCATTAACTTCCTAACTGTTTTTCCAATCTCCGGTTTCTACCCTTTTTAAACTAACTTACACACAGGTGTTAATATCACTCTTCAGCTCAAAAGCCCTCAGTGGCTCCCTATTGCTTGTCAAATTAAGTATGGACTTCTTAGCCTGGCATTCAAGGCTCTATACAACTTGATTCTAACCTTTCCAACCTTATCCCATAGCATCCTAGATTTAGAGGAAGAATTCCTAGTTCAAGACCCTCTAGTTGTATAGGAGACCATCTAGTTCAACCCCCTGATTTTACAGATGAGGAAACTAAGGCTGGTAGAGATTAAGTGTCTTGCCAAGGTAGGAAATAACAGAGCTGGGATTTGAACTCGCTTCTTCTGATTCCTGGTCAGACAAGCTTTCTACTCTATTATGCTCTCTCTCATCCTACTCCCCACTGTGTAGTTTGTGTTCCAACCAAACTGGATATTTGCCATTCCCTTGTTCTCGTCCTCCCCTCTCTTTTATTCAGGCCTTTAAATATGTAATAATAATTATTGTAATAGCTAGCATTTCTATAGCGCCTAAGGTTTGCAATATATTTTACACATATTATCTCATTTGATCCTCAAAATAACCCTTCAAGGTAGGTGCTATTATCCTCATTATATGGATGGGGAAACTTGGGCTGAGAGAGAGGTTCAGTGACTTGCCCAGGGTCACACAGTTAATAAGTATCTGGGGTCAAATTTGAACTCAGGTCTTCCTGACTGCAGGCTCAGCATTCTGTGCACCATGATGCCACCTAGCTGCCTTCTGGCAACTCTATAAGACCATAAATGGAGAAGATGTCAACTTGCATCCATGGAGGAAGTTGATATATGAGGGTGGGGAACCTGTGGACTGAGTCCAAGCTTTACAGAATAAATCCTTGTATTAAGGGGATTTGTTCTGTGAAGTTTGGATTCAGTCAAAGGGCCATACTTGAGGACCTAGAGGGCCACATGTGGCCTCAAGGCTGCAGGTTCCCCACCCCTATAAGAGCTCCCTATATTAATTAAATCAAAGCTCCAGTCCCTATCATGATTATGAGCTTACCCACCATCAACAAACACAAACATTCCAGTGTATATAAAGAACAGAAAGAGGAGAACTTATGAAACCATGAACTTTTGTTACCTTCAATCTCTCTCTTTTCAGTGCACACCTGCCTTTGTTCGTGACCTCCCCTATACCTTGAATGGACTCTACTTTACCCCCAATATGGACCTGCTAGAATCTTCCCATCCTTTAAAACTCAAATCAGTTACCACCCCTTCTGAGCTGCAAATCATCTTCCCTTCCTAAAATTCCTCCAAGGATTTTCCTTATAGGATCATCTCTCTCTCTTTGACCTTTATGATAATCCTTTTATTCTATTT